CCTCCTCCTCCTCCTCGTCTCTCTTGTTCCAGTCCTGTGCTCTTCACTTCCTCACCAACCTTACTCACGAGTCTCTGAACATGACAGAGCAAGAGTTTTGCCGATGTATGCGTACCGGATTGCCTATTACACGACAACAGAAATTCATTTGCGAGGGCGAACGATTGATGATGAGCAACGAGGTTCAGTTGCTCGATCTGGAAGATCGGTAAGTCCGCATCCCGTTTTCACCGAATGATTGGCATCTGTCGAGTATCTTTTCATACATCTCGAAATTTTCTCGTCCTCACTTTCGTCAATTTTTTTTCATTATATCTTCATTAGTTTGATAAACGGTAGACGGAGGTGAACCACATGGTCACACGGACCAGCTATTTTTCTGTGAAAACTAACATTCCATAACCTTAGATTTGATGCAGCGAACCGACCGAAGCTCGGTGGAGTATTGTGATTGTAGTGTTGAACCGAATGACGGACAAATTGTCCATCACCAACTGCAACTCTCATAACCCCGCTTCCATCCAACGCTTTTCCCGTCAAGACATTCTGTGCTACGTCGGTCAACACATTAGAATTCTCACTGCACCAGGACAAGATACTACCCTTTGTATACAGTGTTTCGTTTTCGCTCTAGATGTAAAATGTGAGTGATATTTTTGAAAACAAAAAAAACAAGCCAGTACATTACATTTATTTCCAATGAAATGACCCTTTGGAAATACCTTGTTAACAATGTGCGTATGTCCACGTTACTGTTCATCCCTCGTACTCATCATCATCATTATCCCTATCTGTGCTTTCTGAATTGCGCTGAAATTATCAGTAAAGCTGTAGAGTTCAATGTTCCATGCACTTTCAGTGTTTCCAACTGTTAACTATTCACTTTTGTGCCCCTGTTTCAATTGCTATTTCATGACTGCCCATTTGGATGAAGCAGTTAGGGGAAGATTGGGATGTTCAAATCACTGTAAGGCTGAAAATAGATTATTCGTGAATACTCAGTTTGCAAGAATATTGAATCAGATACACGAACGCCTGTGTTTAATACACTCTCATATTACTCGATGTCTCTCTCACCTGACTGAAACCCAGAAAAGCGTAAACTATTTAAAATAAGTGTCAGTCTGACAGTATACTCAGTTCAGTTTAGTTTTTACATGCCATTAACCATGGAATTTCGTGCGCCGGTCTCAGTTGCTGTCTGCTAGTGCCCCATTTGGATAAAATAGCAGAATGAAGATTGGAATATTGAAAGCAAATTTAAGCGGAAGATGGAGAATTCATATAGAATAGTGATAGAGGAATAATGAGTGAATGCACGAGCGCCACTGTTTGCGACACCCAGGCATATCACTCAGTGTCTCTAACCACCGATGACCATCATCCCGGGGTTCCCAGCCAGGGAGCCTAACGGGACCTATGTGAGCCAGTCTCCTGGTCGGGGTTTTCACACCCTCATGCCAAGTCTTAGTTTGATCAATCTTTTTCCAACCGCTACCAGCCTCACCAAGCATCGCTCGCCGTGGCAACCTATCTGGTGACATGCGTTACACATTCCCCGACTAGCGTAATCTATGAAGGTCGACTACCTGTTCCAGTGGACGACCGCGATTACCTAAAACTCTACGCCTAACTTCTAGCTTCAGCATTGCTCGTCCGGTTTCCGCACCAGACTCGTGCAATGCTACGTAGACAGCACCGATGCCGACAGTCTATTTTTATCCTGTTCCCGTAATGGCCAAGTCTTCTGCGTCGTAGAGCAGGACTGGCCGAACTGCTGCAGTATACACTCGACCCTTCACAAACAGATGTGGATGTGGCGACGGCGCCACAAATATCTCAAGTCGGCAAATACCAACCGAGCCTTTTGTATGCGCGCGAACACTTCATCTGTGATGCGACCTGCATGTGAGATATAGCTGCTCAGGTAGCAAAATTTGTCTACTTGCTCTACAACTTCCCCGGTCAGGGTGAGGCTGGGGACTGAGCCAACCCAATCTTGTAGTAGCGTTTTAGACTTTGAAGGTGCAAAGCGCATGCCGAACATTCCTACATCAGCACTCAAACTATCCAGAAAAGCTTGCAACTTACCTGAATCTTCACTTAATAGCATAATATCGTCTGCATACTCTAGATGAGACAGTTTGTTACCTGTAAGTAACTCGACACCGCTATGCTCGCACGAGGATAGGGCTGTTTCAAGAATTGAATCTATCACGAAGTTGAATAAAAACGGAGAGACAGAGAGGGCAACCCTGTTGAACAGCACTTTCCGTGATGAACTCGGGCGATAAAGTGCCGTAAGCTCGGACCGGGTTTCGGTTATTAGTAGGATCAAAACCAGATCGAACATAAGTAGCACTCCTGGCCAGTCGATGAGTTACCGACAAACAGCTTGTTTTTCTTGCAGAAATTTGTTCCGTGGGTATTTTTGGTTTTAGAAAAGAATTAATTTTGTAATGCACTCAAACTGTGGTTTTCATTTCCTTCGACTTGACCCGAGTTCACTCCGTTATCGATTGTTTCAGAACGTCTGAACTCATATCCAGTCTGGATCAGATCAATCAAGATCTGAACAGTTTCGATGTCGTCACACGACAGAAATTGGAACTGATTCGGTCCGATTATCCCCTACGATCGTGCCCGCACAAGCTGGATCCACGACACCTTGAAAGTCCTCACATCCTACTCCTCGGTCCGCCCAACACGAGTCCCGAAACCACCTCCGGAAACCAAATCACGACGAGCAACAATCCGCCTCAATCCAATGGGACCGTTGAATCCTTACTAGACGCGGATATGGACGAGCAGACCAATCAGATGTTACCCACACCGATTCTTCCCTCACCATACAAACATAATTGACGATGATATTTTTTCACTCCAATCCCGATTTTTCCATCGATCCTTCTTCACTCTGACCACTTACTCCATGGCTATCCCATCGCACAGGAGCGGGACTGTTTGTCCCCCATCCCGCGCGACACAGTCAAACGCACTCGCACACACACATTGGTTCCCACCATCATTAAGTGATAAACAAAATGTGCCACTAGTGAACACGCAACTGTACAGTGTAACTCGCAATCTAACGGGAAAAACAAACAACAGACGCTTTCATTCTCTCTCTATATATATGTCGCATACATCCATGGTTGTTTGCTTTAAATTTCTCCTGCCTCTCAACTCACGCATGCAACAACATGTTACTATTTTGTACAACAGATGTGTAGACTATTTTGTTTTCCTCTTACGTAATGTCACTCACTCATTCACGCACACTCGCTCTCATTCGGTTTGTTCTACTCCCAACCTATCTGTTCGCTTTTATTTATTCCTCTCTCACTTCTACAAATAATTTTTATTTATTCACTTTTTCCTCATCCCACCCCCCTGTTTTCATTTATCTTATGTTCTCGTCATACGTGCGCTTTCCCGCTCGTCAGAACCTGCTAAGACATTGCGTATGTTTGTAATATACATAGGTATGGATCACTGTTTCTTCCCGTTGCATGTACCATACGCCTTCATTCTGCCGAGTATCCGAACGAGCTGTGTTACGTTCATCTTCCAGTTCGGCATAATGTGAACGGTCAGAAGCGTGAACGAATCAACAGTAGTCGTTTTTTTTCTTTTGTTTTGTTTTGCAAATTACCGTATTGTTTTTGTTCTTCTCACCTAATTCGACGGTTGTATTGCTCCGCGAAAACATCTTCATTTCTGATACAGCTAACTTGTGGCCATGTGGGTTGATCGCTCGTACAGGCGTTTGTGGTATCCGATATGCTTATTGATGACGGCACAGTTTTCGAAATGAATATGGAGTGGCGATTTTTGGGGCTGCTAGTGACGTAGACTAAGGTTTAGATTGTCTTGTCTATTTCAAGGGTAAGCTCAGCTTGAATATTTGTTCCCGTGTAGAAGAGCTGCACAAAACGTTTCCGGCATACGCAGTGTACACGACGAGCACGAGGTGCATATGAGAAGGCGAGGAAAACGGGCACAAAAATCTGTTATGAATATTGTTCAGTGATTACAACTGACAGGGCTAAATATAAACACAACCGAGCACAGCTCACATGTCATACAAGGGTCGTTTTACTCGAACTGTAAGGATGAAACTCAGTCGATTTTACTAGCGAGCGATGATTTTCTACAACTGCAAATGTAGATTAAAGAAGCAGCAGCAGAGTGTTGATCGTTTGCGAGTTGCCTTAAAGGAGAACTGTGTTTGAGTGATTTGTGGAATTCAAGCATAGTAGGCGGTCCCTGGATGATGAGACACGATGTGGTCGCCCTTGGGAGGCCATTGTAACGGACAACATTGCTTCTGTGCAAGCGATGGTGGAGAAGGACGCGCGGGTTACAGTGGCACCAACAACTGCAGTTCAGTTATTTATTGAACTGATCAATGAGTTACCCGCTTTGGCATGGTCGAGCTGTTTCACCAAATGGTTTGAGCACTGGTGGAGAATTCTTTGAGAAAATGTAAGGCTAATTTTGTGTAACAAATAAAACTTTTGCTCAAACCACGTAGAACACAATAAGACTGAAGTTTAAAATCGTGTGTTCATAATTACACACTTGCTCTCAGGTCTCAGCATTTGCTGACTTGTGACGCCCTAGGATGTCAAGGTAGCTGCATCCGGATAATTCAAAAGGATTCTGTATCATATTGTTCGTTAACTTAATCGATCGAGTAATTGGTGGAATCATTTGCGCTTATGCCAGCTGAAATTTTTACCAGTCACGTGACAAAACAGTTGACCTGGAGAGATGGATATTTGAATAACGCTCGTAGAACAGGTAAGTAGTTTTAGTAGAACTGGATGCACCTTCCCACCGGCAGTTAAACTTGGTGATGTTATTCGTCCGCTCGGGCTCAAGCTGTCGGTTTCCATGACTGGATAACAAGTTCCCTTGACTGTGAGTAGAGAAAGTCAATTCTTCTGCTGTTCAGGACTCTCACAGCGTGGTGCGTTTCGGATGAGAAACTAGGGCTTGGGACTGTCTGACCAAAGGGAGAAGCCTTCAGCGCGTCAGTAGATGTGAGACCTCCTAAAGGTGGTGATGGCCTTGCTAATTCGATTGGTGCGCGTTANAGAAACGGACGACAGGGCTATTTAAGATATCTTACGTCGTCATGGTGTAACATAATATCTTACAGCTTTACACTCCAGGCAGGAGCGTGCCCATGCAGCCACGTTACTATTCATTTTAGGTCTGTCACAAGCATCACTGAGGCTCGTATTCCTGGGTGAGCTAGGTTGTGCAAGATTGTGGAAACTTTTCTCGGAACGCGTATCGCACTATTGGGCGTGGCGTGCTAGTGGAGATATCACACAGTATATTACTGTGGTGATCCAGGCCTACGAGATGATGCGCACCCTGGAGAGATGCGTTACAGTTTATGGACAACTGCAATCCATCAAATTTCAAAAGTGACGTCAATGACGCCCGTACGTGCCACTGCTTCTGACTACATACCATAGGCAGACCGTGCCGCCCAATCCGAGCCTGTGCAGTCCAGGCAGAAGCGGGATGATGCAAGCAATACTGGAATGCGATTGGTGGAGGCCTGGATAACCATTGATGTCCCTCCGTACGTATTAGTTATTCGAACTCATTTCTTCCAATAAATGAACTACCATTCCTGTGGCCTTTTCCTCGCGTCTCAGTTACGTGGGATATTACGTACTCGTGCCAGTGCGGTCCCGTGCTTACGTGTTCCAGTTCTTGATTGCTAGTCCTTGATTGGTATTTCGGGATTCGTCTTTCGTGGTTTGTATTCCGAGTTCAGTGCATACTACTACTATTACTACTACTACCATTGTCGTGAGATACTACTCACTTGTGAGTAGTATTTACCATCGTTGGTGATTTCTTTCAATGATCAAAAATATAACAAGAGCACCAAGGATCAACTGATGTGTTTGAAAGAATAACTACCGACCGCCCCATGTTTACCCGGTGTGCTATTAGGAACGACGATAGTATGTTTCTGATGAGATGTTTTGTGTTATGTATGGCAAATTGATGATATCCCATCTTAAATCGTCAGTAAGTGACCATCCTCAACTAGCACTGGCTTGTGGAATCATAACACCGTTACAGTTGCCGTCTCTCCCTAGGAAAGCATCTGTTGGGTTTTGTGTGTGCTACAGGTCCACGAAGATGGAAAATAGACGACCTTCCAGCCTTTTTTAAAGTACTAGATAAGCAGACAGACTTTTGAAAGGTCACGACCTAACATATTGTAATGAAACTCTGCGGACTGCTATGGTTTCGAGTTCAATGTCAATGGTTCCTGTAATCAGTCAATCTATTGCTCAAAAGCAACTGCGTCCAATGTAACTCGTCTTGTGGGGTTTTGTCTTCCGTGAGCTCACACCCGAAAAGTATCCACTTGCGTTTTTCTCACGGTCTATGTTTGAAATTGCTACAAATTACTTAGCAAAGAACAAGTGATGGAAATAAATCAGCATCTGAATTAGTTGTAGCACGGAAACTCCTGTGCAGGAATGAGTGCCCAAGAGTGCCGATTAAAAATATAGTTATCACTGGTTGATCAATTTACTCAAGGCACTTCAAGTCGTCTGCAGTGTCTGGTTCCTCTCACTAGAACCTTCAGAACACCCCGTGTTTCAGTTAGTCCAAAATACACATCGGCGAATTGAGTGTTCCCTCATCTTTATTATCACAGTGACTCAGTTCCAAAGGCTAAAAGAGGAATTCCTAATGAAAATACCAATCCGTTTTTGGCTAGGCTCATTTTATTCGTTTGAATCGATATGTTGATCTCATGACCTGGAAAGTCAGCATTGAATAATACCACGGATTAGTCAGAAAGTTCAGTTATGCAAGAGCAATATCACTTCAATTTAAATCATTGCTTCTGAGTGAATCAACGTTTATTCAACCCATCTTGATCGATTTTTAAACAAAAATATGTGTTTGAGAAGTCACGTGACAAGGGATCAATAGCTGTCCCGAAACAGTCACAGTATCCAATCGATAGCTGAGCCTAAGGGCAAGTCAGTGATTGACATGAATCCAGCTAAATAAATTGTCGAAGCGGAATGTTGATAGGCGCATTAAAAAATGTCCATAGCTGGGACAAAAAGAGAATCAGTCTAATCGTGGGGTTAGACCTAATGGTTTCCATTCAGAAAGATATAGTTCTGATCCCCCGGCTATTTCTTTCATATACTAAAATTAGGTAGTATTTTCGGGAATCGGCGCGTAAAATTGATGATATTACTGTAGCACGGGGTGCATTTCTTAAGCCTTATGTAGTATTGTGCCGGGCTTGGGGTCAATACAATTAACAAGCTATAAATGAGTAACTGATTGCGATTAAAGAATATAACTCGTTCGCGGAGGATCCCGCAAATATCTACTATAGTATCGTAATCTCAGTAGCACGTCACGCAGTACCAGTCAAAGGGGTTAATACGAATGTAAGACTTTCACTTGCTCCAATCGAATTGATGATGTTACAGGGGTTGTGGTGCGTGTGATTCGAGCACATGATATCCACACCTATGTGACCTTGACCGCTTAACCACACACACATACACACGTGGCGAAAATCACGGATGCGTGTGTGAAATATTCGCCACTATCTATGGTTCGCTGCCCAAGGGTTCGAGTGTCACTTTTGTAAGAGAAAGGAACATTTCAGATCATTGGTGATACATATGTATGCAAATTAATATTGATGTTATCTATCAAGAAAAAAGCTAATGCATGCTGTTCCGTTTCGGTCTGCATCGTTTTAGTTGTTTGAATAAAAATCCGGTGGGCTCGGAGTTCAAATCCCGGACGGGACGGGGAATATGCACAACTGATGAGCTCCAATAAGA